CATTCCTGTGCTAGTTTTGTGTGAAAAGCTGCCTGTCACTCTGCTTAGAATGGGCCCAAATGACTTGCATACGAAGCTGCTTAGGAGGTCGTTTCACTCGTGCCTTCAGAAGATCTTTTTGTCGTGCCATGACCAAGAAATACAACGTTCGCCCTTTTGGCTGTTGGGCTCGTAGTCCGACACGGCGTCTCCACCGTCTGTTCACAGAGTCACTGAAACTCTTCTAGTTTTGCTCCCCTTCCAATGCCAAAGTAGTAATAATGATGCCGACCACAGATACCAAGTGCAGATACATTCTCTGTCTAGTCTGACTCTTGGCATTGACATCCCTGGGAAAGGGGCGCTGCAGGAGCAGCTCACCTGCCAGGGTGACTCGCCCTGCTGGGTTGTGGGGATGGGTACCCTTTGCCTGTGCAAAAAAAACCTGATAGGACATTTTCTTGGGCACATTTCCTAACAACCAAGTGTTCCAAACTGTAGCTTTCAGCCTTAAAACCCAATCCATATACGTCTGCCTTTCAGTGTGCTGCAACTGCCTTGTTTCTGGCAGGGATCAGGCCATTGTTCTGTATTTTGCACGTGGGAAACCTGGATGCAAAGTTTTTGCGGGCCTGTCTAAAGCCCCGTGGTAGAGCAGCCCACAGCGGGTCCGTCTGTGGCCGCATTGGCAGAGGCCTGGTCGGGGCTGGCGTGAGGTGGGGGATTCGTACGTCATGGCTGGGAATTGGGTGGAGAGAGGTTCAGGCTGAAGGTGCTCCTGTCTTCTTGTGTTTGCTGACGGGAGCAGTTTCGAGTGCATGGGCTCCACCTCTGGCTGCTTTTAGTTCAAAACTGGATGCTTTGAGAAAATGATACCTAAGAGGGGTAAAAAGTGTGGGGATAAAAACAAAAAAGGGGATTTAAAAAGGTATCTGAAAGGGATTAAAGTGGAAGGGGTCCTTGGGAAGTCCAAGAGGGTGCCTGCAGGAGTTCCTTCCCCCGCTGGCTGTGGCCTTGGGCCGCGCCTGCTGCTGCGGTTACCTGGTAAAACAGAACCGCGGTTTGTGGCTCGTGGCCTGAGAAAGGGTTTGGGAATAATCAGCGGGAAGTATCTGCCCAGTTCCCCACGGTCAGGCACAGGTGGGTGTCCAGGCTGACCTGTTGTCACGGGAAGGCGGTTTCTCCTCCTGCCTCGAGACAGTCTCAGCTGTCGGATGCCTTCGGTGCCACCTTACTTGGGGCAGAACAGGCAGCTGTCCAACGGAGCGGTGGCTCTCTCTGGGCGTGACTTGCCGGCTCAGCGGGGAAACCCTGTGGTGCTTCCCTTCCAGGCCTTCTCAGCCCGCAGAAGAGGGAAGCTCTGCAGCGCCTCAGGACCGATATAGAAGTGCTAACGGATTCCTGGCTGGAAACTGCGCTGAAGTCCCTGCTCCTCATACAGTCCAGGTGTGGAAACTGGGAATGTGTATATCGCTGTCTCTGACCTTTCCCTCGCTGAGCCTTGCGTGCAGTGCTGTGCTGCGGCAGTGTCCATCTGTGATACCACTGCTGCTTGTCACGGGTGCGGAGAAGCCAAGTGCAGGGGCTCCGCTCCCGAGCCCCCTGTGGGGTTTACGTGCTGCGACACCCGATGTTGGGAACGTCCCCGTAACAGGACTGTGCTCGCAAAATTGCATTTCTGCCAGAGAATTTCTGTTCGAAACAAAGAGCCAACGAACAAAACGCGCAAATCAAAGTCTTGGCCTAAAGACCCTCTTGAGAGCAGGACAGCCAAGCACGTGGCACTTCGGAAAGCTGAGCAAGCTGCCCAGAGTAACCCTCGGCACCGCTGGCCATAGACGGGCTTTGACAAGTGTTTTCCTTCTTTTAGAAAAAACTGTGTGAACATCCTGATCACAACCACCCAGCTGGTGCCAGCTCTTGCCAAAGTTCTCCTGTATGGATTGGGCGAGGTGTTTCCCATCGAAAATATTTATAGTGCTACAAAAATAGGTAAGGGATTGCGCTGAGTACCTGGCACTGGGGCATCTGCGGTGGGTCAGCAGGGATTTTTACATAGGGAATCCAGTTTCTGCAGCTGAGCAGCCCCCATGGCTGCCCTGGTCCAGCTGGCCATGTGCTGGTGCGGGCTTCTGGCCTCACAAGCTGAACTGGGTGTTAGCCCCTTCCCAGTTAGACAAGAACGTGCTTCTGTACTGGGAAGAAGGGGCCTGTTCAGGCTTCTGTTACTCTCTGCCCAAGGCTCGTTATAGTGGGATTGTCTTTTGGCAGGCAAGGAGAGCTGTTTCGAGAGAATCGTGTCACGGTTTGGAAAGAAAGTCACCTACGTGGTGATTGGAGATGGGCGTGACGAAGAGGTGGCAGCTAAGCAGGTGGGTTCCTGACGGCAGAGAGGTGGGGCGGGGGTCGATGCAAAGGGGAGTCACCGCAGCAGCAGTCCGGTTCTGCAGGGACTCTCTGGTTTTTTCCAGGGCTGAACTCTTAGGCCAGGGCAGCAAGGGGGAAACTTTGCCTTTGATGCAAGAGATCTTTCACTGTGTTTAGATGGGGAGTTTTCTGGCTCTTGGGGGTTTGGGTTTCTGGTTTGCTGTTCTTTAGGCTTGTGTATGACATTGTCCCTGTGAAACAGTGCCGTGCTGTAGCGTGCCTTGCTGGTAGCACGCAGCTGTCAGTGGGGAGCACGCAGTTTTCCAGAGGCGCGGAAGGAGTCGGGACGCGGTTGCCAG